AAAGAAAAGAAAAGCTGAAGTGGTGAAACAGAAACCTAGGAATAAACATGACTCGGACTACACCAGCTGTTACGCTCTTTTTTTAAATAACCGTAATTATTCACTACCCTAATTGAAATTTATTGCACAAAACCCAACGTCATGTACTTTTTCCTCTTTTGCCAAGATTGCAACAATCATTCCCTGCCCTAATGAAACAAAAACATTAAATAAAATAAAGAATAAATCTTTTGGAATAAAGACATGGCTTTGGTTAACAGCAGTATAGATTAAAACAATTTTGCTGTTATCTGTCCCAAGGTAACAAATACTGGCAAGCAAACATGACTGTAAGGTCAGAGTTAATGCAGTCTTCAACTGGGTTTCTTCCTCCAGAATGTAAGGAAACTAAAGACTGAGATTGCAAATGTTTCTGATAATTAAGAATTATGGGCAATATTATCCAACTTCAGCTGTTATCGTTTCCCTTACTTGCAACCGCATCTGCCTTGGTTTCTCTTGCCCAATTCCAGATGGAAAGGAGAACAAGCCAATAGCTTTTCTCAAAAAATACCTACATACTATTTAAACTGATTCCTGGAACCTTTGTAGGCATAACTATGCATCATTAGGCAAAATATTTTGAACTTTCAACTTGGTCAACTTACAGAATGGCCTCAAAATTCGGACGCGTGGAATTGAAATGTGGCAAATGTTACTCAACATTTCACAACAAACATATCATGATGGACAAAATGTTCTAAAATGTTCTATGTGGTGATGTTTGGTAGTTCCACCTCAGCATTTTTGAGGCAGCAACACCCCTGAATGTACTCCAGCTTTTCGAGAGAAGGCATTGAAGACTCTGATAAAGAAATATCTCTGAAAGGATGACTCAAGAGGTCACCAGTTATCTAGTAACGAACTAAAATGGTAGCCCAGTTGATTGGCTCACCTTGCAAACATTTCTGCTCGCTTATCTCCTAGTGGCACACACAGCTGTGGGAAGTTAATAAATAAATTGTCTGCAATACAAGGGCTTCCAGCCATGGTTGAAAGATCAGGGTTTTTTTATGGCTTCCTTGCTTTTAAAGTTCACCATATTTCCTGCCTGAATTCCTGTGCGTTTTTATTTTACGTGCTGAATCACATTGAGTGGTGATGTTATTGGAGGGGCACATAGTTAATTAAGATCAAGCCAGTGGTGGGATTTAATTTTTTTTTTACTATCAGTTCTGTGGGCCTGGCTAGGTGGGCGTAGCCATGTGACTGGGTGGGCATGGCTTTTTTTTGCAGCACCCCCCATTTTGGGGCCTTCTGGGTCTCAGACAAGCCTCCGAGGGGGTATTTTTGCTCCCAGGAAGCTTCCCGGGGCCCAGGAAGGAAAAAAATGGAGCAGGGAGGGCTGCGCCCCCACCCCCCCAATTTTTGCCTTCTGGGCCTTAGGGAAACCTCCTTGGTGAAGCAGTAAGTAAACGAGGGGAATCCCAGCACAGCTGATCATAGGAACAGCTGATTGTCAGGAGGGAGGAAGAAAAGAAATACCTTAAGGAGTGACTGGGCTGGGTAAGTGTCAGGTGGGCAGGGTGAGCGAGCATCTGGTGACCGGGTTGGCATGGCCCAGCCAGAAGTTACTACCGGTTTGGCAACCCATGCCAAATCGTTGCTACCGGTTCGCTTGAACTGGTGTGAACCAGCTGAATACCACCACTGGATCAAGAGCAGGAAATTAGGAGCCAAGATGGTTCAAATGAATGCAAGTTTGTTGCATGCAAACATTCCCTACAAGAATCTGAACCACTAACAGTCAAAGCAAATTGGGGGTAGATAAGAGTCAACTGAATTCAAGGTGGGCTGGACTTAGATCTCTTGCGGGCACAAAGGAACTCAAAACTAATGAGATGCTTGGCCCCTCCTTCAGGCTCAGCTTGGTCATCTCCTACACATCATCTTCTTTCTTACTTTTACCTTTCTCAGCATTGGAGACTTTTCCAAGGAGCTAGTATCCTACAGTTATCTTTCTTATCTGTCGACAATTGTCTGGGAAAGTTGCAAATGGTGATCACATGACCCCAGGATGTTGCAACCATCATCGACATGTGCCAATTGCCAAGCGCACAGATTTTGATCACATGATCCTAGAGATGCTTTGTCTGTCATAAGTGCAAGATCATAAGTCACTTTTTTCCCCCCAGTGCCATTGTTAACTTCCAACAGTCACTAAACAAATAGTGATGGTTGGAAGTTACAACTTTAGAAAAAGGGCAAGGCGGACCCTGAATACGCTAAGAAGAAGATCTAGAAAAAAGGGAGAGTAAGCACCTTGCCCCGCTTCCTTCCTAGCAGATGTAGAAACCAACTGCTACCAGGAAGAGAAGGAGAAGGTGAAGGGGAGGAGGAGGAAGAGAAGATGATGAAGACAAAGATGAAGAAGAAGGAAAAGAAGAAGAGAAGGAGAAGAAGAGGAGGAGGAGGAGGAGGAGGAGGAGGAGGAGGAGAAGGGAAGGAGGAGGAGGAG